TTTGTATAGTTAAGGGAGATTCTAATAGTGCCTCGCTAGATAGATTTCTATTGAATGCACTTATGGTAATAGTCTCTACTAATTACTATTAAGTAGTCTCTTATGTTGGAATGGAGTTTCTCCTACCTTGACATCCCTTACCTAATGGACTACATCAAACAACAAGCGCAGCTACGTTACAGTCAAGCAGAATCGAATAACAACCCTTTGTTGCGCGAGTCAGTTGAGCAAGTTCGCAGGCACACAAGGCCGCGACTCGCACTGTGAACAAAATTAAAATCGGTCCAACCAAAATTATAATTTTTCTTCAACAACCAATCAAAAAATTAATTTTAGGATCAATTTAAAATTGCCGAATACTAACTAGCAATGCCAAGGCACCCCTCAAATTGATGCACTTCTTTTTTCTTTGCTCTCCCTCCTTTCTTCTTCCCTTCTTTCTCCCTGACTTTGTTTTGGTATCTGGGCAACCAGACCTGACAGACCTACTGACTTACAAGACTTCACCCGAGAGCAAAGGTCCTACGGAATGCTCTGACAGACCATGACGGATAGTGTGGAGTTTCTCCTAGTTAGCTGTACCCTGAAAATGCTAACGTCAAAACTCCCGTCTTTATCTCCCATTGCTTATTTGCTGAAACCGAACAGCATCCCTTGATCATGTATCATTTCTATACCTCGTAAACTCGCCCTCCATTTCACCTGTTCCGCTAAAGCTACAAGCAGCCGTTGCAAAATATCGAGTTCCATTTCACAAAAGATCCCGAAAAGAAATAGTGGAAGTAATAAAGGATTTATACAGACGTGTAATGGCAGCGATATTTCCCTTCCTCCGTTCCGAAGCACTACATTTATATTTCTCCATTATTCGTAAACAAAATATAAATGGAGATGTCAAAACGGCACGGCTGATTGTTTTCCGTTGGGTTGAGGGATGACCGTAAAGCTTCGAGGTGAGGCTAAAGTTGAATCGCGTGCAATAGACCGATCGCTGTTGTTATTTATAGAGTTCGGCCTGGAGTTGCGAGTTGCCAATCAATTTTGTGCCCGGACGCGGTTGCTCGGACAGGTGTCAACAAGCTCGTTCAGGTGTTCTATTTCAAATTGTACCAACTTTAATTACAAAGG